TAAAATCAAATCTAATCTTATCTAATAAAATCAAACGAAATATTGATAATTCGAAATTGCCTAAAGTAAAAAAAACTGCCTAATCAGAAAAACGGCCGAGATTTCCGGCGATTACGGCGATCACATTCTTCAAGATAATCACAGGCTAACTGTTCTACATCATTCCCTCCCTCTTCGAGAAAACTCGCCTTCGAGTTATGATTAGGATAGAGGGGTGTATCGGGAGCATGATACTCAAATAAGTCTGCCACATTAAATGTAGGGGAAATGTTGAGATCACCAGGAAGGTCAACTACATAGGCATTGTCATTGATCTTCTTCAGGATGCGGCAAGGACCAATCTTCTTGTGCTTCAGTTTATTATAGGTACCTACAGGAAAATGCTCCTTTCTCAGGAAAACCATTACCTCATCGCCTACCTCAAAAATTTTCGAACGTCGCCGTTTGTCAGCATCCTCCTTATACTTTGAATTAGAAGCAGCCAATTGACTAGCAACAACAGCTTGGACTTCATTAATTCTGATCGCCAAATTCTCCGCCGCGACACTATAGCCAGGAATCTTGGGCAAGGGAACCAAATCCAGAGTATGCTGTGGTGAAAGGGAGATGTACTGGTAGAGCGGTTAACCGAGTTGTTGAAGGCGAACTCAGCAAGAGCAAGATACCGATCCCACTGCTTAGGCATATCACTGCAGAGGCAACGAATGATATTCGCCATAGTACGATTCACAACTTCCGTCTGACCATCCGTTTGGGGATAAAAAGAACTACTATACTGTAAATCAGTCCCAAACAAACGCCATAAAGTACGCCAAAAATGGCTCAGAAATTTCGTGTCACGATCGGAAGTGATTGTGTTCGGCACACCATGGAGACGGACTACTTCACGAAAGAATAAACTTGCCACATGCGAAGCATCCGAAGTTTTCTTACAAGGGATGAAGTGCGCCATCTTCAAAAACCGGTCAACCACCACGAAAACAGAATCTAAACTCCGTTGAGTGCGAGGAAGTCCCAACACGAAGTCCATCGATATGTCTACCCAAGGACCCGAAGGAATAGGCAAGGGGGTATAAAGACCAGTGTTCTGAGAGTGGCCCTTAGCGGTCTGACAAATGTAGCATTTATTGACAAATCGCCCCATGTCTCGCTTCAGTTGAGGCCAATAGTACCGCTCCTCTACCAAGGCTACAGTTTTATCTCACCCCAAATGTCCGCCGAGAGTACCACCATGAAGCTCTCGAATGAGTTATTCACGCAAGGAACCACGAGGAATGCATAATCTATTGAAAAAGAACAAGAATTTTTCTTGAATTATCAAATCGCCATGACAGCCTGTTTCAGAACACTTCTCCCATATCTCACCAAAATCATCATCCTCAGAATAAAGAGAACATAGGTTATCAAAACCGACAACATCAGTGCACATGGTCACGAGTATCGCAGCACGTCGACTCAACGCATCTACCACTTTATTTAAATGACCTGCTTTGTGACGAAGCACAAAATTAAATTGCTCCAGAAAAGAAACCCATCATGCATGCATTCGATTTAAGTGCTTCTGACTCTTGATATATTTAAGAGCATGATGATCGGTGTTAAGAACAAATTCCTGCTGATAAAGATAGGACTGCCAGTGCTTTATAGCGCGCACTACAGCATAATACTCTTGCTCATACGTAGACCACCGCCGACGAACTTCATTAAGTTTCTCACTAAAAAAAGCAATAGGCTTACCTTCTTGGGAAAGAACAGCGCCGATTCCAATACCCAAAGCATCGCAGTCCAACTCGAACACTTTCTCAAAATCAGGGAGCATCAATACTGGTGCTGTTAAGAGCTTTTCTTTGATAAGCTTGAAGCTGGCCGAAGCTTCATCACCCCAATGGAATTTGCCTTTCTTTAAACAATCAGTGATCGGGGCTACAATTGTACTGAAATCTCGAATAAAACGTCTATAGAACGTCGCAAGGCCATGGAAACTTCGAGCCTCGCCAACATTCTGTGGAACTGGCCAATCACGGATCACAGCTACCTTTTCTGCATCAACGTGAAGACCATCTGCTCCAACAACAAAACCCAAGAAAAGGAGTCGCTCGGTCATGAAGCTGCACTTCTTCAAATTAATAAATAATTGATTTTTCTGCAAGGTTAGCAGGACATCTCTCAAGTGCTCCATGTGCTGTCGATCGTCCGGACTATAGATGAGAATATCATCAAAGAAAACTACCATAAACTTGCCAATAAAAGGTTTGAGAACCTGAGTCATCAAACGCATGAAAGTACTAGGCGCGTTAGTGAGTCCAAACGGCATGACAAGCCATTCGTACAAACCCACACTTGTCTTGAAGGCCGTTTTCCATTCGTCGCCAGGACGGATGTGAACTTGGTGGTATCCGCTTCGAAGGTCGATCTTCGTAAAAATCTGTGATCCAGCAAGTCTGTCTAGCATATCATCAAGTCGTAGAATCGAAAACCTATACTTGACAGTAATCCGGTTAATGGCACGACTGTCTACACACATACGCATGGTGCCGTCTTTCTTTGGCGTGAGAAGCGCAGGAACTGCACATGGACTTTTGCTTTCACGCAAGAAGCCCTTTCGAAGGAGCTCTCCCACCTGTTCCTGTAGAATCTGATTCTCCTTCGGATTAATCCGATAATGCGGCAAATTAGGAAGACTAGCACCTAGAAGAAAATCAATCTCATGCTGGATATCTCTCAAAGGAGGTAATCCGTCAGGTAAATCCTCAGGCATAACATCACTGAATACCTTTAATAAGGGTTTAAGAATGTCGGGAACACGAACCACAACTTGCTGGTCGCCCTTGTCCACGATCATATACATCCCTTCATGCTTTCGGATGTTCATCATAACCCCTGCATTCTGCTTCTTCACAATCTGAGGGGAATTACTCTTCGGTCTCAAAGTAATTTTAGTCCTTTTCCACACAAAAGAATACGTATTCTCCCTAGCTCGGTGTGTAGCATCAACATCATATTGCCATGGCCGACCCAGTAAAACATGACACGCATCCATCTCCACAACATCACAGACAATAGTATCTTGATATGATTTCCCGATCGAAATAGGTAAACGGCATAATTGGTTTACCTTAAGTTCTGCTCCCTTGCGTATCCACTCGATCGTGTAGGGCGCGGGATGCAGCTCCGTCTTTAGTTGCAAGTGATCCACCAAGGCCTTTGACACTATGTTCTCGCAACTTCCGCTGTTAATAATGATATCGCATACTTTGCCGTTAACAGTACAGCAAGCGCGGAAAAGCTGATTCCGCTGGGTATCTTTTGTCCGCGGAGCAAGCAATAGACGACGCACAACACAATTAACTTGCTCGCCCACTTCATCTTCCACTCCCACTTCTTCTTCATTTTCCCAATCTTCCTCATACTCATCTTCGTCATGTTCAATGATATTGGTCATTCTACGACGAGGACAATCACTGGAACGATGGCCTAACTCATTACACTTGTAGCACTTGATCGGTTGGGGCTTGGTATATGGATTCTGGGTATTCTGATTGGGAGTGCGATTGCTTGCTGCGACTGCTTCCTTAAGCGTCCCAGTAGTACCCCCTGAAACTCGGCTCGAATCAGGCGTTTGTCGACTAGAAGAACTTGCAACATCAGGCTATTTTCCTTTCCCGAATGACCCACGACCTGAATAATTGCTACCACGAGTACTAGGGCTAGTCCTCTCCAATTGCACCTCAATTTTTCGCGCCATATCCTGGGTGTCTTCAATAGAGAATAGTCGATGCAAAGAAACCCGATCCTGGATATTAAGTCGCAAATCATTAATGTACCTAGCAGTTTGTTGAGCCTCGGACTCATCCAGGTTATTGCGAGCGGAGAGTCGAAGGAACTCTTCCGTATAAGCTTGGACCGATCTATTCGATTGTCGGCAATTCTGGAATTGCTGAAATAACAGTTGCTCATAGTCCGTTGGGAGGAACCTCTTCTTCAACTTCTGTTTCATCTGACCCCACGATCGAATAGGAGCATTGCCTTGTCGACGTCGTGTCAATTGAGTCTGTTCCCACCAAGCTGAAGCGCCACCCTTCAACTTGTACGCCACAAGTTTCACTTGGCGATCTTCGTCAATATCCATAACGTCGAAGAATTTTTCGACCTCCCAAAGCCAATCAAGGAAATCTTCAATATCCAAATTCCCATTGAAAGTAGGGAGATCTACCTTCAGTTGATACTGCTCAGGATCTCGTCGATATCCTCCCTGACGTCGATTCCCACGAACATGTTCCTCCTAGAATCCCCTGTATCGGCGACCACCACTAATCTGCATCTCCTGGAAATCATCGTCTTCGTCTTCCGTATCCTCGACATAGTCTTGACGCCTTTGTCAGGGAATTCCTCCACGCCCCATAGCATCTTCGGGATCACGAACGATAGGAATTCGCTCGGCTGGAAGATTGCCAGGCGCATGGTTTGTGGACAAACGCTAGATGGCATCAAGGATCTCTTGAAACCTCCGATCGGTTTGATCCACGAACTGATTGAACTCAGCCCGCGTAATAGGCTCGCTTTCACGGCCCTTAGCAGCGGGGAGATTGACATTCACGTTATTCACCATCGTCACTGGAGAAACCGGCTCTGATACCAAATGACGCAGATAGAAGCGATAACTTGGAAAACTCTTCCACGATTCGACTGGAATTCAATTCAATTTCATAATATTATTTGAATACAAAGCTGGACGTCCTTTTATAATGATAGGACTCCTAAAGATATCCGAATTAATGAAGATAACATCAAAGCAAATCTAATCTAATCTAATAAAATCAAATCTAATCTTATCTAATAAAATAAAATCTAATCTTATTTAATAAAATCAAACGAAATATTGATAATTCGAAATTGCCTAAAGTAAAAAAAACTGCCTAATCAGAAAAACGGCCGAGATTTCCGGCAATTACGGCGATCACATTCTTCAAGATAATCACAGGCTAACTGTTATACATCATAAAACAAGCGTAAACACCAAGCTAAAAGGAGAAATATCCGGTTCTTCCAACTCTGACATTACTGCAAAATAACTGATCAACCTTCTTAGCTTTTCTAAGTATTGAGGTGCACAATGAAGCTCTAGGATGGGAAGCACTCCAACAGAGACAAGGCGGGACACAGATTGCCTTGGTCAAGGCCAAACCCAAAGAACATCTTCGGTTGAAATTCGTCCCTGAAAAGAAAACTTCACTAAGACAAATACGAGTCGCAGAATCATACTTTATGTTTGAAGCACTCCAGGAAAGTAACAAAGTAAAAGAACCGACAGAGGAGGGCAAGACACAAAAAATGCAGGCCTCAGATGCCTAAAAGGGAGGCGCAAACTGCCAATGAAGTTAATGCACAACTATATCATCGATCGAGACGTCATTTTAGAGCTACGCACGCAATTGACTTTATACAAACAAAACAAAAAGTTGGAAGGCTAGTGCATGAGGATGGTTCAATAACTCAAGGATATGAGAAATTGATATCGATGACAAACACAAACAGGCAATGCCCACAATGAAGTGCTAGGGCAACGGAATAAACGATGGCCAGCACGAAACTCTTTGCACCGAATGGGGAATTTATGAGTTTGCTAATCGAATGCTATCATCAGTGCAGTGAGAACTCTTTCTTAATTGTCGCCGTCGACATGGGCTTCTAAGGGGGATAACTTCTCAGGAATAAAGATTAATCACTAAGAAAAATATTACACAGCTGTGTTTGCACATTTATCAATCAGGAGGCTATTTCGTGAGAATGATGCCATTCATTCTCAAATTGACCTTTTTACTCCCTGTGTTTCTAGCTCGACTTACAGAGCAAACGCGACGCGAGCAAGAGATTAAAGGGCCTATTCCGTTTTAGAACTGGGAGCGAGTGAAATTAAGCCACGGGCTGATCGATCGTGTCATTCAATTCCGTAAAGGGGAGAAAGAACTACCACAAGCAAAATATCGCTCAAAATCTCTGATTAGCGCAAGGTTAAGAAGATGTCATACTAGCCACCGCTGCGTAATTTCAAAAGGCACGCCACAAATTTCTGGAAGGAGTTCCTCACAAACATCGCAGACTCCGAGGGAAGAACTAGGGTGGGAACAGGAATCCTGCTTTGGGATTGTTTCTGCGCAATAGCAAATGCAGGATATTATCTTGTAATCAATCCTAGAGGAAAATAAAGAGTACAGCGGCGAAAGAGCATTGGTGACTGAAAACCCCCACTGGAAGCAGGTTTAGGTAGAGGCGTTTGCAGAGCTAGAGCACCCATCAGTTTACCTCTTTGTTTCAGACCCAGAAACATCACAAAACGTGGCAATCAAATCGAGTTTACAGGCAACACCGTGACAACCCAGAAAGCATCCCCACATTCCTATAACCCTAAAAAGGCAAAGACGATTCAACCTTCGAGACCAAGGAAACACAGGCCCGTTCGTTAGAGTTCCTATTCATCAGGCCAGACAAGGGAATCTCAGCCAAAAGCGGGGGAGACCAATAAACGGGGAACAGGAAATCATGCATGCGAGCCAAATCAATTCCACACAAAATTTTCCCATCTCCCTCCGGTCTACTACGAGGTAGACACACAAAACGCATACGAATCGCAACAACCGGAAATCATAAAATCAACAAAGCCAACCGAAAATCGAGCCATCAGACCTCAGATCTGGAATGAAGGAGAGGCTTACCAGCGCTGGAAGAGGTAGGAGGATCCTTCTGGAGATCCTTGCGCGCCTTCGAGTTCCGCTTCTGCTTCGAAGCCCTAGGAAGATCCGCTTGGAAGCCATCTTCTCCAGATGGACATGACAACCAGGAGGATCTTCCTAGGGCGTCGAAGCGGAAGGGGAAGAGAGAGAATGCGGGAGGGAAAGGGAAAGGAACGGAGTGGCTTTGGGTAAATAGAGCCGGAGGTTACCTCCTCAAGCGGTAACCGGTTTGGAGTAGCTTTAGTTTTTTTTTTTTTTTTTAAGGTCGGAAGAGAAGAGTAGCTTTAGTTATATGATTGAAAATAGTACTTTTCGAGGGTCACACACACTAGTAATGATAATTATGAAATTGCCAAAAGAAATATCACTTCAAAAATGATAAAATATTATCGATTCATTTTCATCACGTATAACGATCGTTTTACCCTTACTGAACATAACCGATTTCATATTATACAATATTCGAATTCGTCGTGAACCAATTCTACTTAATTCGACTAGATTGTCCGATCTTCTTCTTCTTTCTTCTTTCTTTTTTTTTTCTGAGTATTACCGTATATTATACTGCAAATAGTTTATGCCAATTCTTCTCCCCATATTTATCCAATAGATTCTTTGTTTGTTTGTAAATATATCCCATTACTTATCGTGTGCACGATAGATTGGAGTCGACTTTACGTGTAATTATAGATACACTTCCTTATTCTCGTTGAATTCATTTTACTATTTATTACTTTCTTATTCCCATTGAGTTAAAACTTGAGACTTTGTCTCCGAGACTGCATGTCAGGTAGGGTTTGTCCAGTGAATTTCTTGGGCTCTTACACTTCCGAGGCCCACAAACTCTTTATTCCCATTTGGATTTCTTTTGGATCAAACTAAACTTCTAGATTTTGTCAAAGGAGTACTTTAAAAGAATTTGGCCAAATTAAAAATTAATATTTTGTCTAAGGAGTAATTTGAAAGAAGCCAAATTTTCCTTTGAATCATGTTCGATGAAAGTACCTACAATGGGGAGTGAGCATATAAACTCCGAAGCTCAATAAGACTAACAACGGTCGATACGGACTTGGATTCCTCTTCGGCCTTGAAAATAATAAGCTACAAGCGCATCCTAGTAATCTCCATTCTACTCACCTTCTGAGACTTCCATCGAGTAGCGAACTAAAAGGAATACTCTAATTAAATTTGGACTTTCTTGTTCCTGAAAAATTCTAAGAACAAGGATCATACTTCATTATTTTCCTGGCAGTTTGTGCCTCCCTTTAGGCATTTAAGGCTTGTATTTTTGAGTCTTGCCCTTCTCTGTTGGTTCTCATACTTCATTATTTTTCCGGAGTACTTCTCAAACCAAAAGTATGATTTTGCCGAAGCTCTGCGATTTGTATCTATCTGAGTGAAGTTTTCTTTTCAGGGAAGAACTTCAACCAAAGATGTTCTTTGGTTTTGGCCTTGACCCAGGAAATTTGAGTCCCACCTTATCTCTGTTAGAGTTAGCTAAGGATAAGAAGATAGAAACCTGTATTTGGACGTATTTTGTGACTTGACAAATTCCATGGCTAGTTTGATTCGTGGTGCGTGTAAAATCTACTGGATTTGCGCGCTTGTTCTTTCCCTCTAAATGGATTTTACTCATTTAAACTTTGTTTGGAAAGCAAGATTCAGTGTGGGATGAATTTTAGTGGAAGGAGTGCAATTTTATCGTTTGGAAGAGGCAACGAAAATGCAAATACTTATTTGGGAGCGAAACAAATTCTACTGGGCCGACATATTTTGTTCCTTAAGACGGTGTGAAGAAAGTAGGAAAAGAGATACGACACCTCTTACTCGTTTCCAAATAATCATTCTCTTCACCAGATGCCCAGAATTTACTCTTCTGCCAACTAGACATACTTGTCATTAGGCATGGATAGGAGATAAATAAAATGCGCGAATTAGTTGCATTTGTTTTTTGATTTTTTGTTTGTCATAGGAGTATAGTTATTAGAATAATAAAAAAAAATTTAAGTAAATGATTAGCTAAGAATACATATTGACAAGACCTGATCAGGGCTATTGCATGTTTTAATGAGTTCACGTCATGTAAATATGGTAACCATTTAATGAGCTCCGACAAGAGATTTGGTTTCACGAATTGTATTGAATCTTATATGGTAACCATTTTGTAATAGGCTCAATTCAGGTGATGGGTTTTTTGATTGGTTGATTCTCGTGATTTTGAGTATCCATTGTTCTCAAAAAATCATAAAAGATGGGATTTTTTGTATTGGCATAATTTGGTCGTCGTTCGATATTATGATAGCCTGAGAATTAGCTGTGTAAATTTTTCCAACTGAGAGTTGGATTTTGTAATTTCTTTTATCGAATAATTTTGTTTATAAGTGTCTTGAAAAAACCCGTTAAATGCCCGAATAAAGAAAATCTATTGTTTTCGAACCATTGTTTTTCTTGTGTTGTGCATAATCAATGGATAGAAAATGAAAATTTTTTTACTCATTAACAAGACCGTTCATTTACATGCGACAAAACTAGCTAGAAAAATTAATCTGGAAATAATAGGTAATCTTGGTGGGGATTTTGCAACAAGCTCCAGGGAAAATGAAAATTCTCACTCCAGACCCTGAATGTGTAATGAATGTGTAAGATACCCTTTCATGTTCCTCTTTTTGTCGGAAAAAGATATGGTAATGTTGAAAAGGAAATTGGAATTAAGTCTCCTTCTCCAATGACTATTGTGATTTACAGCTCTTCTTGCGGCCTCCTTGGGACAAATAATCTAATCGGACTAGAATATTCTTCATTGCTTGAGACCCAGTCGGCTCTACGTATGTACGGAATTTATAGTTTCTTAAAGATATTTTGTTCAAATATTAAAAAGATACAATTTACCTTGATCCAACAATCACATACTGTCGCGACCGCCATTCTCTTCTGTTTGAATAGCGTGCGTCTGGATGCATTAAGTCTAGGTCTGAGACTTAAATCGGGCTCTCCCAAGCCCATATCATATCGGGACTTATGGTTTAGGTTTTCTAACCTGCCAGTGATTTTTACTTAGGAGTCGCCACTAACCAATTTATTGTGGGTCGATTAGACACCCAAGTAAAGCAGTGAGAGAATTACCTTACTTTTGCAAACCAGAGATTAAATAAGTTCTGAAATTGGTTACACAAGTTGAGTGACTAGTGCCATTTCGGTACCTTTCATCCTGTTCATTTTAGAATAAAAACATTTATCAGGCAGTTTAGATTGATTTTAGGACCTATCTCCTTACATGTGAGATGATTAAGCGAGTACACAATTATTAAATTAACAATGAGCATTCAAGATAAATATGCAACCTAAGATTCTAATCCTAACTAGGGTGATAATATTCAACACATGACAATTTATGCAATTATATATACTAATTAGAAATAACATGTATAATAATAATACAACAGTAGTAAAAATGACACGTGAAATCATACCGTATAGCCCTATAGGCTTATCTGATTTAGACATAATTATTGATCGAATAATTCACATAATTTAGAAAATTATTCAAAAATATTAATTTCTAAACAATTTCCTTGATATTTTTATAATTTTTTAAAAAATAAAATTTTTAATTAAAAATAATAAAGTATTAATATAATATTCAATCGGGTCGGGTCGGGTCCATGGATTCGGATTGGGTCAGCGGACCCGACCCAAATGCGTTAACCCGGGTCTTGAATTGGATCGGGCTCGGTTTAGTGGTAAAAGACGAAATAGGGCCAATCAAATATAGCCTGCAAATCGGTCCAACCAGGTCTGCAGGCCGATTCAGGCCAAATCCCAGGTCTTGCAGGCCCGGGGGCCATCGGCCGAGCAAAAATTTGGCGAGTTGCTGGCTATTTTGCCCGGCCTTTGGCCAAGCTTAGGAGATTGAGGGGTGGCTGACCATCGGATGGCCGACCAGAGTGGTCGCCAGCCAAGTCCCAGTCGAGGCTCGTTGAGCCCAAACGTCGGTCGGAGCTTGGCCGACCAGCCGATCCAAGTCATATTTTTACCTCATTCGACCTCCAATGATCATTATGAAGCCAACCAAGGGGATCGAGACTCGCCGACCGATTCTTACATCGCCTGCTGAGGACCGAGACAAAACAACTTCATTGTTACATTTTGTCGAATACATGGAGTGCGTGACTGAAACAAGGGAACTTCGACCTCTCTCGGGGTCAAGGCCTGCTCCGACGGCCACGACTCGCCTCCGATAGTGAATTTGGACCGGAAGAAGGGACGATATAGGTTGAGATTCTCAAGAAACGACTGACACAAGTCCCGGCCAACCTGCATACAAAAACAAGGGAAAACAGGGGCCCAAGAAGGCTAACCGGTCGAGGCTGCTTCTGAGGGGTTACCGGTCAGCTTGCTGGCGACAACAAGGCTGGCTGGCTTCTCTTCAAAACCTGCAAACAACCAAAACTCTCACTTTTGCTCTCAATTTCTCTCAAAATCTCTCGATCTCTCTTTTGCTCTATTTTTGGTCGACCCTCTCTCTCTCTCTCTCTCTAAATTTCGTGAATTCGTTCACGAACATAAGTGAGTAAAAACAGTGGAAATTAGGACATTCGTCGATGGAAATAGGGAAATGTTGGCTTTGGAAATTCAGATACCGTCACAACACTTTTGCTATCTTCATTTTCATCTCCACCGCACCACCACGACATTGTCATGTTTATTTCCGCACGAACCGTCTGACGATCAGCTATCCTTTCAATTCCTATCATCATTTGGCCGAGTACACTACTCATCTTGCCATACATTTCTAGACATGCAAAACCGAGCTTCGGTTTTGTTTTCCCCACCACCATCACCATAACTGCTCGGCTGCTGCTCCTTCTTCTTTTTTTATTTTTCTTCTTTTTCCCCGCTAAGCCCTGCCACTTCGCGAGGAAGATGCGCCAAATGGCACTGGGAATTGCCGTGTGGCAACCTCCCACTAATGCTTCTGTTTTATGCCATGCAAGGGGGGGAAACCAAAACCCCAAAACCTCTCTCTTTTTCCCGATTGACTCCTCTTTCTGTTTCTTCTTCTCTTCTTCGGTTTGTCCGCCTGGCGCCGGTCCGTCTCGTCCAGCCTGCTGCAGCAGCTTCGCCCGACGATGCTTGACCCCG